TGCAGACCTGGTTGTTTTCTTCTCTCTTCATTTGCAAAGGTGCCCCAGCGAAGCCTGACAGCTTTCAAGGAAATTGCAGATAATGGGGGGAGGACATCAGCGCGGTGCAGGGTGCACAGGAGCACCCGGAGGCAGATGATGCCAATGGCAGTGCCAGCCCTGGGGCCCTCGCCCCGAGCTCCCCGCTCATGAGCAAAGAAATACAGCAGCAGCACTGTCCCGGCTGCGGCAGCATGTGGCTACTGGAAAGCAGAGCGTGAGCCTTGGAGACTTTTTCCCAGGGCTGAGCAGGCTCCGGTTTGCAGTAGGAGCATTGCAGGTGCCTGTTGCATCCCTGGAGCTGCCTCGGCTGCTGCTCTCAGGGCAGCACGATGACCCACGGGACCCGCACGGCACCGCAGAGGTGTCCCTGGAGAACTGCCCTTCCCGAGCCTGGGGAGGCAGCTCCGTCCAGCAGCCCAGAGTGGGGATCGGTGGTGGAGCCCCTGGCTCGCTGACTCCTTGGGGCCAACACCCTGAGTCCCCCTGGGAAAACAGGTAGAAGGAAGCAATCCAAAGGGAGAGAAAACAGAGTTCTGCAGGGAGACCAGCCCAGCATCGCCTCCAACTCCCTCTGCTGCAGACTCACAGCAGAGTGGATTGAAGGAGAAAGATCTTAATCCATCTTGTCAGAAAAGTCTAGTGAAATTAATTGGAATTTGCAGAAAATAAGCCAGCCCGGGCATGTGACAATGGCAGCAGAAGTGATGTCCCTGGCACACTGCTCTTGGGATAAGACCTTCCCTGCAGCAGGGATGGGGTGTCCCCTGCCTGGTTTGTAGCTTTGGGCTCTCTCCCCATGCCCGGAGCACTTGGCTGCAGTGACTCTGGCAGCACAGGGCTCGGCCCTGCACAGCTCTCCTGGCATGCGGCGGTGCCAGGGGCTCGCCGACGAGGACGGTCCGGGCACCCCGACCCCTCAGTCCCCTCTCACAGGGCACAAAGGCGGCTGCTTTTCAGGAGCCGGAGGAGCTGCGTCACTCCTGACCCATGTGGACACCGTCGGGGTTCACGAGTTTGAGGGTGTTTCATTTGTCACCCCTCTTGGCTGTGGAAAAAGCCAGCAGCAGGAGAGGGACAAATCAAATTACAAGCCAGCTAATGAAAATAATGGGGAATAAAGCACTTTTGGAGGCTGCTTGGTTGGATTCCTATTTCCGTGTGTCGCTGGATTTAAATCAGTGATGTTTATAGCCCTCAAGAAACAGTCATTTAATTGCCCTTTGTGATTAGCTGCAACTCAATTGACCATGAATTTCTTGCTCTTGCAGACCTGAGCCTTTGGCAGATGAGAGGTGGCCGGCTCTGAGCCGGGCTCCAGCCCCACGGCTGCTCCTGCCCCCATTGCTCGAGCACCCAAAACGCTCCTGGGCCTTTCAGGGGCCCGGCCCTTGCAGCTCGTCCCAGGGTAAAACAGCTGGGGGATGCTGAGGGTCCTCCTGCAGCCGAGACGGTGTGTTTATACAGCGGGAGCAAGCGGGGGATCTGTTGGGAGGTTCTGCCCTGTTTCCATGCGATGGTCCAGCCACTCCGACAGCGAGTGGCTGTCAGCGCCTGCCTGGGCTAACAGCCTCCGTTTGCAACTATTGACTCTGAGTAAATAATCTCCAGATATATTTTTCTCCCGATAAAAGCTGATTTTTTTCTATTATTGTCAGGGGTGTTTATTAGAGCAGAAAAATAATAGTGCTGTGCTTGCAGCCTGATTGCCGGGAAGTGTCAGAAGTCGGCTGTGCAGCCCTGGCAGCTGGGATCAAACGTGCTGCTTGGCACCGCGGTCACGGGGGCGGCGAGGGTGCAGGGGGGGCATGAAAATCCCCCTGCCCGGCTGGCTTGATGTGAAAAACCCCCCTCCCGGGGGGGGTTGGGGGGGGGGGGGGGGGCGCATCGAAGGGAAATTTCTTTTCAGCAATGGGCAGAGGGAGAAGATGCTCCGCACATCTGAGCTCTGGAGCATCTCGGCAAAAAGGAGTAGGAATTTCCAGTAGCGTCGGGGATGAGGGGCTGGCACAGGGCTCAGCCGTCAGACGTGGGGAGGTTGCGCTGCTGCAGACACCTGGGCAACAGAGCCAGTAATTTAGTGACAAGCAAGTTTTATGTGGTCCCATGGAAGCTCTCTCTCCCTCTTGCCCATCCACCCGAAGGATCGCTCTCCTGTGCTGGAGCTGCAGCCCCTTGGCCTCCTTTTGGCGTCTTGCAGGTCACAGATGAATAATGGCAGGCAGCGCAGGCAGCTCTCTGCCCCTCTCGCCCTGTCCTCCCCCTCCCTGTGCCCACCAGGGACTCCCCAGATCCCTGCAACACAGAAAATTAATCCTCCTGCCTCATTAATTACAGTAATGTGTCAGGAGCCTTGTTCAAGGTCAGCCTCTCAGATCCTTGTAATCAATTCTCTCCAATTTGCAGCCGCCTCGCTGGGGAGGAGCTGGGTGGCAGCGGCACACGGCGGCAACGAGCACCGTGGGCATCCCCAGCGCGTGGGACTGGCTGACCGGAGCCTGCGGACGCAGGAGGGTCCCAGGCAGGCTCCCCTCCCTGGGGGGGCTCCATGCTGGCAGCCTGGGCTCCCTGTGTCCCCCCGTGTCCCCCTATGCTGCCATCCCGAGCCGAGGGTCTCCTTCCTACCACCTCTGCCTGCCTGCAGGGCAGCTTGGCTGGGAGCCCTCTGCTCCCTCCCTGTTGCTGATGGCTGAATGAGGTGGTTGGTTTGGCTTAATCGCGTTGGGCAGCAATTAAACAGCTCTCCTCCTCCATTAGAGACTGCAGCAGATTTTGCACTTAGACCTTGCATCTTACATGACTGGCAATATTTTATTTTTTTAGGGAATGAAAAGAAGAAAGGGAAAATCCCTTTAGGGATGCCGGTTCTTGCTGACAGCTGAGCTGATACAAGCTGGTAATGTACTTTATTCTGCTTAATAGCAATGATCCGCCCAGCAGGGATTAAATCAGAGGTGCTGATAACACACCTGAGAAATGAAGGCAGCTGACAACCCCCGGCACTTAATGTGGGGAGCGGTGGGAGAGCGGTGCTGGTCGGTGGGGCTCCGCCAGCCGTGCTGCCCTGGCCCCCAGGATGCCATGGCACCAGTGGATGGCTCGGCAGCAGTGGGGTGCACAGGGGACCCACTGCTCCCCCCACCCTGCGTCACACCTGGAGCGTGGTGGGAGCTTCGTCAGCCACGGCGGGTAATGGAGCCACTTCACATCTCCCCTGTGACGGGATCCACTCTGCCCCAGGGTGGTGGTGGCAGAGCCAGTGGTGCCTCCGAGCGCAGGAGGCTCCATGCTGCAGTGCTGGGAAGGGTCTGGATTCATCCCTGTCTGTCGCCTCCAGTGCTACCTGGGGATTGTGACCAGAGCTGCCCAAGGGATCTGGCTGTGCCGCTGGGCTGCCACCCGGTGCCGTCGGTCCCCATCCCACGTGCTGCAACCCGGGAAAAGCCCTGTGTCTGCTTCCCCTTTCCACCTTCCCCCTCGCCAGGCGGCCCTGGGCAGGGGGGGCTCTTGCGCCACAGGCTGGGAGCCCACTGCCCCGCTGCTCACCCCGAAACGTGCCTGGTCTTGGCCGTGAGCACCCACCCTCCCTCCAAACTGAGCTCCCCAGTCTGTCCTGCACCATGGCCCCATGTCACCACCTGTCCCCGCGCTGCCACAGCCTCATCCCGCAGGACCCTCCATCACCCGGCTGGCTCTCGCACCCCGGCAGCCTCCTCCCCACACATCCTCCTGCCCCAGCCTCTCCGAGGCCCCTCCACCAAGCTGGCTGGGACCCGTGGCTCTGGCTGTGGGTGTCCTGCAGGGATGGCACCCTGCCTCTTGTCCCCCTGTCCCATCCCAGGGTTGGGATCTGTGGGCTTGTGAGAGTGACTCAGAGCTGAAGGGGAACCAAGAGCACTGTCATGGGGGCACGTCTGCTCCATCCCAGATCTTGGGAAGGAAGGGAGCCATGTCAAGAGCCGTGCCTTGACAGATTGGCACGCTTGGGGCCAAACCCTTTCCCTGGGGAGCATGGGTGAGGCGAGGCCGGGGGCAAGGTGCGCTGGGCTGGGATGCACGGTCCCCTCCGCACCCCAAGATGCAGGGTCCCACCGCGCGTACCCCTGGCGGGGCCCCACAGGCAGGCACGGGGAGGGCAGCGCTTGTTTGTGTCCAGCTGGGTGTTTGCAGCTCTGCGGCCCTCCGGTTCCCACGGAGATGCCCACGTCGCCATGGCTACCTGCGGATATTCCTGCTCCAGCTGGTAAACAGCCTGCAAACCGCACCCTTCCGTCCCAAAATACTGGGGGTTGCTACACCCCAGGGAAATGTTGCAAGGGCAGGGCCCCCGCCCCAGGCCAGCGGCTATGGGAATCGACCCCTTGCCCCAACCCATCGCCCCTGCGAGCAGCCTGGCCCGCTCCAGGCAGGGGGCTGAGACCCTGGGCAGGGGAGATTTGGGGGAAAAAAACGTTGTTCAGACTGTCGGGGCTGCGAGGCAGCTGGCCACAGCCTCAGGCCATCTCTCTCCGGCCAGCAGCCCGGCTCCGCGGGAGGCGATGCTGGGAGCGCATCTCCCCCAGGCTGCTCTCCCGCAGCCCCAGGCCACCCTGCCTCCTGGGGCACATTGGGGTCGGGGGCTGTGCTGGCCCCGCAGTTGTTTGCAGCATGGGACTGCATGAGCACTGAGTAACGTGCCACAGGCGGTGAAATGCGTGCTACAAATCCCATAGTAAACAGCTGTTTGCACAAGAGCCACCTCCATTGCGAAGGCTGTGAGTGTGTTGCGGGTTGGGCAATCCCCTGTTTACCCCCATGCTCCAGTCCCATCCCACGGGACGTGGGGTTCCCCGGCTGGGGCTGCGATGCCAGCCCGGCGTGGGTGGGCAGAGCTGCCCAACGTCCCAGCAGTGAGCCCCCCGGGGTGGCTGGGCAGGGCCCTGGGCAAGGGGCTGCTGGAAAAACCCGGGTTAATGGTCGGCATGGGAAAGTACCAGTGGGAAGGTCGGGTCTCGGGTGGCCCTTGGGGCATCTCACGGGTCCCCTCACTCTGAGGCGAGCTGGACTGCGTGGCGGGAACATGGGCAACTTGGGTCAAACGGGGCTTCACAGGGCAGCTCTACCCGGGGCCAGGCTTTAGGAGGCAGCCCCGGCTCGGCTGCAAGGGGCAGTGGTGCTGTCCCCAGGGACCGGAGCAGGGAGGCTGGGAGACACATCCCAGGAGAGGCCCGGAGGATGCAAGGATGAGCCCAGTCCCCTGCGGTGAGTGCCCAGCGAGAACACGGGGCTGGGCTGGAGGATGCAATCTGCGCCCAGGCGGCACCACGTTGCGCTGGCAGCCACGGCTGGGTTTGCCTCCTGCCCTCTGAGTCCCACATTGCCCAGCCTATGTCCCCCTCCATGTCCCCCAGCCCAGTCCCGTGGCTCCAGGGCAGTCGCAGCAAGGAGCCAGCTGCGCCACGTCCCGACTGCGCCACGTCCCGGCTGCTGGAGCGGGCAGGGTGGGAGGCCGGGTGCTGCTCCCCGCTGCTGGATGTGTGCATGCCACTGGGCTTTCCTTCCTGCGGCGAGCGAGGCAGTCGCAGCCTTCAGGGAAGTGTTTTGCAATCACCTTCTTCAGAGAGTCACAGCAATTAACGGCACTGGTTTTGAGGAACTAACGGTGAAAGCAGCATGTTAGCAAACGGGCTGAGCACGGCGAGCCGCCGGGAGCCGGAGGCCAGCACTCGGAGCAGGCAGTGAGCAGCGGCCAGACGCACCAGGCACGGAGGCGAGGTAGGGATGGAGGCAAAGTAGGGATGGAGGCGAGGTAGAATGGGGCACAGGGTGCTTGGGTCCGGCTGAGCACCTTGCCTGTGGCTGTGCGAGCTGCTCTGCCCTGTCCCCTGCCTGGGACAGCCGCATGTGCCAGGTGCTCAGGGGTGGCTGCTCCCCCATTTCCCACACTCGAGTCCCTCATCAGCCTCTGGACATCGGCCTGGGGGGGAGAGCCTCTGTGGGCACCCAGAGGCAGGCACAGCATGGGCAGCCCCTCCAGGGCAAGTGCCCGGCACTGCCGAGGACGTGGCTGGGACCGAGCTGGGGCAGAGAGTGAGCCGGCGGCCGGGCAGGGCCGAGGCAGGGGGCGGGCCCCCGGGGGCTTC